TCGACCGGCCGGCAAGTGACATGGGGTCAACTGTCTCTCGTTTCACACTTAGAATTGCTAGTTGATTGTGTTGCGAGGACGTCAACCTGTTCGCTCTCCCGACAAGAACATTTCGCGCAGAGGCACACAGCTCAGATCGCAGGAGTGTACCCCCCACATGCGCTACAGTGTATTCCTGAACACTCAGCTTACTACTAGGAGCAAGGACGCTACTAGGAGCAAAGGGCATCGCCATTAGGAGCAGGGACGCTACTAGGGGCTCCTGGCCTTACTACTAGGAGCAAGGACGCTACTAGGGGCTCCTGGCATCGCTCCTAGGAGCATTCTTACTACTAGTAACACTCAGCTTACTTGCAGATTTGCAAAAAAATAGGGGTCGATTGAGTGGGCCCAAGCATCACGTGAGCATTTGGGGAATGGCTCACAACGCCCATCCTTTGCCAATGGGGAGATAAAAGCTTCGAGGAGCAACAGTGCCGGCTGTTCGAACTGGCCATCAGCTCTGCTTGTGATGACCACCGCTGCCAAACACAACAGCTTCGCCATGCTAAGCAAGTACGCAGAACCTACCTTCAGGCAGTGCTTCAGCTAAAAGCTGCAGGTTCTCTCCAATGAGGCCAACTGGCAACGTGTGGCGCAGAACCAACATTGAGTGGAGCAAGGACGCTACTAGGGGCTCCTGGCCGTACTACTAGTAGCAAGAAGCTAATAGAAACAAGATTGAAGCTCTTGCACTCAAGATTCCCTTTTCTCGACAATGCAAGGCCGCTTGCTCCTCCCTTGGAGCTGCCGCAAGAAGGACATTATCAAGTGTCTAGCAGCGATCTCACCCCTTGGCAGTCTTTGTGCCACCAGCCGCCTCACATCAGTCGAACTGCGCGTCTGCTGGACACTGGCTTAAGAATTTATCTTATTCTGTTCCAAATGTCCCCCCAAAACAGTCCAAGAAGCAGTGTCCCAGCAATGTTTGAAATGCAAGAAGGAAGTACAGGCCTTTGTCTTGGCAGACTTTGTGCCTGTGGCGGCAACCTTCCAGGCACAGGGTGGAAATTCTGTGATCAAGTTGCTGTTACGTCCCAAGTGTGGAATAATTACATTGACATCCTTCCCTAGCATTTCGACAAGAGCAACATGGGTCATCGGACCGAGTCATCCGACAAAATCTCGTTTGTTCCCTCGTGGCCCAGTCGGCCGATCCCCGCCTTTTTGGCAGACTTTGTGCCAGTGGTTGCAGCTTCAGCCTGGTCAAACATCCTCTTGCAATTTTTGTGAACCAAACATAAGAGGATACAAATGAAGAAGCCCGTCTAGGTGTCAGCCACTATTGAGACATAAGGATTGGCCTGCGTTGTGCTATTTTTCAAGCAAGCCCAAGGACATCAAGCCTCTTCAGCCATTTCCTGCTGCCTGTCAAACAAGGCTAGCTTGAGCTAAGCTGTGTTCAAAACTGTCCATCTTTGCTGGAATGTGTCGTCTGTTGTGGAAGGGTCTTTCGCAAAGCAGCTACAATCAGTACGCTAGATTGCACAAGTCAAAGCAGGGCACCTCAAAAAAGGAAATCTGTGACAACCCAGGTCAAAAGAACAAGAGGCAACTCAGCTCAGATTCGAACACGAGGTGCGAAAACTGGTGCAGCCTGCCAGGAAATCTGAACATTTTGTTTGCCTTTGTTCGTCCCAAAAAAAAGAAAACAAGATCAAGTCACCCCTTCTTCAGCACTAAGTCACTAAGCACCTCAGAAACTTGTGGATCTCTGGCGCTTGCACACCCAGTCGCAAAAAGCTCCCATGACCTGGGCCACTATTTGGATCTATTTGGTGCCTTGACATGGGACATTGTTGACACCATACAACGAGCCTAGAACACCAAAATGAGTCTCTTGAACCACTTGAATTGCGCGCGAGCTTTCTAATTCACATGTAGCTTGCAGGATCTTCCATCCAACAACTAAAGAGCACAGTTCATCAGATGTTCTATTATGCCGCTGGTGTTCCCTTCGACTTGAACAATTCCTGTTGCTCAGCACCTGGCCCTCATCCGTCAGCTTGCCACGGAAATCCATCAGCGCGTGTAAGGCGATGGCCTCGAGAGGAAACTTGAAGATCGATGAAAAAGCCTTGGTTGATGTTGTTTAGAGTGATTTCCGCCAAAACTGCTGGAGCATACTCTCTGTGTTTTGCTGGGTGGAGTCCCACAACTGCCATGCTCACGAATTTTGATACTCTTGCCTCAACTTGGATGCACTAAGCCCTAGGCACTAGGCAAGGGCTGTCCAATTTGATATACAGTAGTTATACATTGCAAAGGCTTCGCACGCTGTAAAAGCCCATCCATGTCATGAGGTAGCTGATAGTTTCTACCAACTCAACAGAAGACAGAATAAGGATGAATCAGGAATGTTGACAGTGACTTACATGCAGACACTCAGACACACAAACACACACTCAGGAAATGCGTACGGTACTGATTTGCGGTTTGCCACACGCCTTCACAAGCATGATGTGCACACATAGCAGGCCTCATATCTTGAGCGCTCAGGAGAGAAGCGGTAGACCGCACTACCAGAGCTGCCTGGGTTCCCCATGACCTCAGTCCGCTGAAACCACTGGCTCACAAAGCTACGAAAGTGTTGCAACCTTAGAAAGTCGTGCTGTGTGCACAAGACTGCACTCCATTAGCAGCGGTGAGTCGAAGGATGGTGCAGCAAACTGCCTTTGTAAAAGCTAAGCCACTCACCTGTGAAAGCATGAGCCCGATACCTGCCCTCACGTCTGAAAGAGATGCCACGTGCCCTGCCACAAAAGATTGGTTTCATGAATCAATCCATGTTCTACCACGCACAGTGAACACAATGAACGACGAACACTAAGTTCATAAACACCCCAAACGTGCCAATCTGCAACAAGGCCCAAGATGCTCACAACCCAGTCTGCACAACGCTGCACCTCCAGAATGAGCATGTTATATGTTGTGAAAAGTAAAGCGCGCCGTTTTGGACACCTCGGTTTGGGCCTGAAGTTCATGGCGTATCCTTGATGCATACCAGAGTGCTACATGTCTGTTGAACTTGATGCTTCATCTAACACCGTCCTCATAGCCTCTGGTATGCAGTGTGTGCATGGCTTGATGGTTCGAACGCTGACACTATTGGTCAGATGCCCACATCCTTCGTTGTGGTAACATGTGCCTGTTCTTGCCATATGCCAGTATTGTCTCTCTAAAGTGAAACGGGTGTTCTGCATCAGCTGATTCATCTGCTGCTTTGCTTCGGCTTCGGTCTCTTTTGACCTCTTCTTCCATAGCTCGGCCACTTCCCAAGCTTTGGCGATGTCTTCTGTCATTCTTTCCAACTCCATAGCTTTCTCATCATCTGTTCCGGCCAACCTAATGACCTTTCTTTTGGCTTCATCTCTTTCTTCCTTGACATTCTCGAGCTCGAAGCGCAGCTCTGAACACATGTCATACATGCGCACAACTTCTCGTGCTTGCAGATCTCGATCTCTTCGGGCATCTGTCAGCTTTTCCTCCTGTTCAGCAATGGCCACCTCCAAGCGAACAATCTGCCATTGCATATTCATCTTCTCTTCGTCTGTGCTTGTCTCATTTCTCGCAGGCAGTCTTTCGACCACATTCTCATCGTCTCCATCCTCATTCTCCTCGACGGACTGTCCGTGGCTTCGTCTTCCATGCCACCATGTCATCATAGCCCCAATGGCCATTCGCGCCAGGCTCAAGGCCCCAATGCTTGCCAAACAGATCATGGTGATCAATGGCCGAATCCACCAAGCCTCATCGCTTCCATCTTCGTTTTCTTCTGGGCGCTCAGCTTCTGCTCCTTGGCCTCCTTGCAGCAATGCCAAAGCAATCACTAGGGCCACTTTTGCATTTGCACCCATCATCTTCGCCATCTTCCCGGTGTTCTTCTTGAGCTGTTCTTTGGCCTTTATCTCCTCATATTGTTGCCTTCCAATCTTTTCATCATCCATGTCAACCATTTTGATCAGGTACTTCAACCCGCTCATTCTTGCCCTGCTCAAGATCTTGGTTCCAATGTCGCTGGTGTTGACAGCTGTGGGAATGCCTGTGATCTTCAACTCCTTTGCGACCACCTTCTGTTGAAGCCACAACAAACCAGCTGCAATGTGGCGTGTCCGCCCCACTCCAACTCGTCCCGCCAGAGCCCGGGCTGCTGATGAGTCGCTCCGGCAAATCATGTCCAGGTCTTCGTTGGTCAGGAATTTCCAGCAGTGCTTTAGAAAGAGTCCTTCACTGCATCCACCGACCATGGCCACGTACTCGCTTTCTCCTGACGAAAGTGCGATGGCCCTTTGACTTCTCACATAGCTTTCCAGCAGGCGTCCGTCCAGGTAAATCTGGACTGAGCTGACACTCTTTCTTGTGTCCCGCTGACCTGCATAGTCGGCGTCACACACCACCTCCAGCATGCTTTTCTTCTCTTCATTGAAGTCCCACTCATAGATGTTGTCATCATCATTCAGCATGCTTCTTCCTTTGGATCCGTGCTCAAACAGGATTCCTTCATTCATTGTTCCCAGGAGGTATGAACTCACATGCTGCATGGCTTGCCAGCTCTTCTTCGTTGGCTGTTGCATGAAACCAGCTAAGCCCTGCGCAACATATTGGACATCAGGGCGATCAGGGGAGATGTAGAGCAACTTCCCCACGCAACTGCGATACTTGGTGACGTCTTCAGATCTCATAGGTTCATCATCTTTGCTCAATCGATTGAAAGTTCCATCACCAGGGGTCGTCCGATGCTTCCGATGCTCCACATTTGTGAGCTTGGCCAGTTCCTTGATGTGTTGTTTGTCTGGCCTGATCGTGATCCCTTTCTCAATCAACTCCATCTCTCGCTTGAGATAACTGAAGCTCCCCATGTAGAGTGGGCCTCTCTTCTCAGTCTTCCAGCCTTTGTTTTCCATGTGGCTGATGAATTTCTCCACCTCCGGCTCATCACCAACCAAAAGCAGATCATCGACGTGGATTGTGAGATATAACTTCCCACTTGTGTCACTGCCTTCGGGTGCTTCTGGCTTCTTCATCATCGTGGGTTGCATTGTGTCTTGCGCGAGTCCATATTCAGTTGCAACCTTGCAGAAGCCCTTGAACCATTGAGCGGCAGCATTTCGTTGTCCAGGCAAGTTTCGCTTCAGCCGGTAGGTCCCACTTGCAGTCACCACCAATGCCTTCTCATCTTCTGGCTGGTCCATCAACAGAAATGCATCCTTCACATCCAACGTGTAGAGTGCAAGCCCACTCTTCATCTGTAGTCGAAGGAGCATTCTCACAATCACCGGCGCGGATGTCGGTGCGAAGGCGTCTTCAGTAAACACTGACCACTTGAACTGCCTTCCAACTAATCTTGCTCTCCTGAACCAGCCTCCCATTTCATCTCTGTGCTTCCAGGTGATGACCATCTTTGATGTCAACACATAGGACCCTTCTTCTGGCTCCTCATTCTCCTTCAACTTCTCGAGGACACCCATCTTCTCCAGCCTCTCTTCTTCATGGCGGCAGGCTTCTGCGTCCAGCTTTGCCAACTCCTCTTCCTCGATCTCAGGTGGCTTTCCAATTCCTTTCCCATCTCCTTCATCCTCACTGACATTGTTGAGCTCTTCCTGCAAAATGGCTTCTCCGGTCATCTCATCTCCACCTGGGAAATCTTCTTGAATGCTGTTCACTCTTCTCTTTGGGCTCATCCTCCTCTTTTCGTCATCCTCGTCGTCCCACGGCAAGGCATACTCTCTCTTTGTGCCTAGTGGTGGAGTGACTGGTGCCAGGTTGCCCACGATCTCTTCTAATCTCTGCTTCTTTGGGCTTGCTTCAGACTCCACTGCTTCTGGCATGAAGTTCCTGGCAGGTTCACCTCGCATCGCCTCAGGGATGGGCAGCCGTGCCATCTTTCGCTTTGATGCTTCTCCTTCTTTTGGATCTGAGGATGAACTCTTGGCCTCTCTTGGTGGTTCTGGTGCCACTGGAGTCTTGGGCACTGGACGGGCCGGCGTGGCTGGCATAGGCGTGACTACTGGTGTTCGTATTGCCGGTGTCTTGCTTGCTGGTGTTCTGGCAGGTGTCTTTGGATAGCCCTCTGGAGCTGGACCTGGTGTGATAGGACCATGTCCATACATTCTCATGGCCACTTCCTCTCCGACCATTTTTGCCTCCTTCTCTACTTGCTCTTCACCTGTGGCTTCTTCAGCTGCCTCGGCTAGGCGTTGTCGTGCTGCAAACTTGGTCTTCGTGAGGACGCCTTGAGCCGAGTATTGCCATGGAAGTCCACGGCAGTGGATCAGCATCTGCCCATCAAACTGCTCGGGAAGCCTCCTGATAGAACGGGCCTCCACCGCTCCAGATCTTGTCAAACAGATGTGGCTGTCGTTCCACGAACTTTTGCCAACCCAGACACCTCGTCGATAGACCGGCTCACCTTTGTGCTTGAAGGAGGTGACATCTTTGAAAAGCACTGTCTCACCCCATAGCGCCACCCTGCCAACATATTGACGGTCCGTCAGCATCTCAAAGGATGTAGCTCCATTGATCACCCTGTATCGGAGCATCAACCAAGCTGCATGTCTGAAACTCCAGGGATAGCAATGCATATCTCCTGTGATTTTCACACCACTCTTTTCCTCTGCGTAGCGCCTCAAGGTATTGGCGAGCTTGCGGACGGACTGGACTGTTCTCTCGGCCTGACCGTTGGACGCATGCTGGTCTCTTGAGGTTGTCCTGACTTCTGTGGTGAGGCCAAGGGAGGCACGGGCGTGTTGAGTTGCCCTGAGCACTTGTCGAGTGACTCTCTCTCCATCCGACTGGAAAATGATTGGCTGGGTGTTGCAGACCTGCATACTAAATCTTGTCAGCTCTTCTGTCACCTGCTTCAGCGATGCACTCCCTTTTGCTTGGACAGGAATGCACAGTGTGGCTTTTGACTCTGACTCCGCCACGTACAAGGCGGTGCCCCATTGCTTCTCCTCTGGTGCGTCGGCCGTATAGGTGAACCCATAGTCAAAGCTGATCACCGGCCTACCTCTATCCTTCCTGTCGCTTCGTTCTTCCTTCATTCGTGGGTCCTCTTTTGATCTCGTTGCAACACACTGTTGACACCATGGCTGAAACGGGAGATGTGTCAATTGGTGCAGCTCTTGTTCATGCCGTGAAGGCAACTTTGGTGTTTTCAGAGGAATGGCTTCTCTCCTGCTTTCGGCAAACAGTCTTTGTGCAACCTCATATGCCATCTTCTCTTCCTGCTGATGCTTGAATCGTTGCAACCTCCTCAGGACTTTCGTCTTGGACCCTGATGTAGCCAATCCAAGCTGCTTGCATATTTCTTGGAGGTCTTTGAGCTTTGTCTCTTTGTCGAACCATGTTTCATCAATCTGCACCCTTAGCTCGTCTGGATCCACGAACTCCACGTCCTCCAGGATCTCTGCTCTTCCTCCACTTCCTGCTGCAAGCATAGGGAACTCTCCTCCTTCTTCATCCCTTTCGTCATCGGGCCATGATGATGGTTCTCCACTCAGTAGTGGGTACTGGCTCACTGGGACTTCCGAGTTCAGCACGAAGTAGTCCAGAATCAGTCCTGGGGCAACAAATGTCAGGGTTGACCTTGGTCCTGCCGGCAGGGCTCGAAAGGGCAATGGTGTGTCCTTGTACGCAGCTAGACTTTCGATCTGCTCCCAAGCACCTGAATTGTCTTTCTTCTTCACGAGAGTCATACGTCCACACCATTCAGGGCCGAAAGACATGCTTGGGTCAAGGAAATGAGTTGCCTGCGGACTTGAATGCACCACTATTCCATTCGGCAAGGCATGCCATCCCGGCACCTTCTCCAACAGGCCTAGTTCTCTTGAAATGAAGCCCTGCAGTGAATGCCCTTCTCCTCGAACCGGGAACACATGTTGTCCGGCCTCCGTCAACTCCTCCATGGGGCTGTCCGTCAGCTCCATTGGCTCACTCTTGACTTCGACATTCTTCAGCCTCCACTTCTCCCAGCGGGCCAACTTCTCTTGAACTCCTCCATCTTCGCTGCTGCTTCCTTCGACAATGATTTCTCCTCCTGACTCTTCAGTGGTGTAGCCTGGTGAGCGTTGTGGGGTTTTCTCTTTCTCCTTCAGTCGCGACTTCTTCATGGGGTTCTCTTCCACTTGAACATCATCATCAGTCGCTCCTTGCTCTGGGATCTCTCTCATCAATGCCAAGGCCTCTGCTTCTTCCTTGGCTACCTTCTCCGCTTCTGCTTGCTCCTCAGCACTTCTTTTCACTCCTCGATCTGTTTCCGCCTCCTCGGGAACCTCCTTCTTCTCTCCTTCCTTTTCTTCTTGGGCCCGGTCATTCGCTGCCATGGCCTCGATCTCCTTCTTCTGCTCTTCATCCAACTCTTCTTCTGCTCGAATTGCACAGACCTTCACATCCATGACCAGAGAGTTCCTTTCGAGTCTGGCCGGGATTTGCATCTTCTTCTCAGGGTGCTCCAAGCATAGACCTTGTTGATCACGCGACAGCACCCATCCTTGCCTCAGGAGTCGGCCAAAGCTTAGCAATGGATGTGTCACTCCAACTCCCAATGCAAACTGCTCCACGAATTCCACCACGTCTCCATTCCTCGTGTGAGCTTGAAGTCTCAACCTGCGGTTTCCAGCACTTTTGATGGCCTCTCCTTGTGCGTCGACCATCTGCACTGACCGTTGCTGTCCTGGGTGACCCATCTGGTAGTACTCCTCAGGTGCAACAGAAACATCTGCTCCAGAGTCGAGGGTCATGATGACTGTGGGCGCCATGCTCTTCACCATGCACACTCTGAACATGTCCAACTCAGTGTCTTCACATTGGGCTCGTGCATCACGGCTCACTGTCTCCTCCAACGATGAAGTACTTGGCGGCTCTTCTTCATCTCCACTGTGGCAATCGTAGAAGATCTCTTCCTCTTCAGGTGCACTGTGCTGCGCCTCCATCACCATGTTGATGGCCCACGCCATCTCCTCATCCTCTGACTTGACCGGCTCCTCTGGCGAGTCATCTTGAGTCAAATCAAAGATCTCCATAGTCGCCAAGCCTGTGGGCGTGACAAGCCTCACCCTCCTGACTCCAGCTCGATAAGTGGAGTGGGACGACGGGCCAGTTGACGCTCCTCCACCTTGGCCTTGATCTTTTCCTTGTTGGCTGCCTTGTCCACTCTTGTTGACCTCTGCAGCTTCTTGGTCTTCTACTTGCTCACTCTCTTGGGGGCCCAACATTCACGAGCAAAATGCCCTGGTTTGCCGCAGTTGTGGCAGTTCCCAACTCCGGTCTTGCCTTTCTTCCCATCTTGCTTTCCTGACCCCTTTCCTCCTTTGCCACCTTTCTTGCCTCCATCCTTGGACCATGAGCCTTTTCCTTTTGAATTCTTTCCCTTCTCCTTGCCCTTCTTTCCTTTCTTGCCCCCCTTCTTTCCTCCTTTTGACCAAACAGCATCAACTTCCATTGGTCCACCACGGTCCTCCTGGTCCATGAGGGGCTTCACGTTCATCTGCATAGTGCCATCACTCATCCATCGTTGGCTCACCTGCTCATACATCTCGATGCGTTGCCTCAGGTCTTCAAAAGTTGTGTCGTCCTGCAACGTCATCTGCACGTGGAGCCGGAGTGTGGCGGGCAAGGCGGCTATCACCGAGGCAATCTTCAAGTCGTCCGGGTAGGTCACATTGGCGCTCCTCTCATACTCTCTCACCATCAGGTCATACTGCGGGAGTTGCTCCGTCACTGTCCTGCTTCCATCAAACTGGACCTTATTCAAGGACTGGATGAGGGCCAGTGACCGCTGCCGTGTTCGAGGCTGCAAGTCCTTGGTGAGCACTCGCCAGGCCTCCAAGCCGTTCTGTCCGGCTACACCTCGCACCAAACGCAAAGGTCGTTGTTTCATGAGGCCTGTGAGCAACTCTCGGATTGGGGTCTCACTGAGGGGAGTCCATCGTTGATCACTGACTCTTCCTTTTCGGCGTTCTTCATGTGAGCCAGCATGGTTGGGTCGACTGCCCCAACAAATGTTTCAAACTGAAACCGCCAATCCATCCACTTGTTCAACTCTTCACCTCTATTCTCTGGGGAGAAAGTCGTGGGGGGCTTCAAGTGCTTGATGAATCCGGAATTCCGCTCCACCTCGATCAGCCCGTGCAGCGCTTGCACCAGCCCCTGCACCCCAGCTGCAGCACCCACAGAGGATGCCGGCTCAGCCGCTGGTCCACCAGCGCCATCATCCAGACCGGCCATGAGCGCGACCCGGATACTAGTCTGTCCGGGATTTCGACAGACCGATGAATCCCCGGTGGATTATTCCCCAAAGGTTATCTGGAGATGTGGGGCCTACCCACAGAGCTCCGCTACCATGAAAAGTAAAGCGCGCCGTTTTGGACACCTCGGTTTGGGCCTGAAGTTCATGGCGTATCCTTGATGCATACCAGAGTGCTACATGTCTGTTGAACTTGATGCTTCATCTAACATGTTGTGTATATATATATATATATACAAATATCCCCCTCACTCAATGTTCCCCGCTGGGTTTTTTCACTTTATAAGGAACAGGTGTTTAATAAGTCAGACCGTTCTAGCTGGCATGTACTCTGAGTTCTATCTGGCAAAAGTGCTGGCACTCCATCTACCATAACTGCTTGCATTCTATCTGACATCATTGCTGGCATTCTATCTGGCACGCACTGTGGCAGTGGCAAAAATACTCTGGCACTCTATCTGGCGTACATTCTGACATTCTATCTGGTTTTTTCTGACCGTCTATCTGGCATTCTTTCTGCCATTCCATCTGGCAAGGTCCGGCGGCGCCCGCCGCGATCTGGAGCTGGCGGCCGTTGAGGTCCAGCAGCGCACACTACGATCGGCAGCTGGTGGTTGAGGTGCTGGCGGTTGAGGTCCGGCAGCGCCCACTGCTAGCGCTTGCTGTTGAGGTCCGTTAGTGCCCACTGCAATCTGGCACGTGCTGTGGTGAGGTCCGGTAGTGCCCACTGGGCTCTGGCCCGTATTTTTGAAATTATGCGACCCAGGTCCAATGATCCTGGCTTAAGCCGTCCTTCATTGACGGCTCAGCATGTTGTGATCATTGTATATTTGCTTTACCTCGAACCAGGTGCTTTTTGAACCAGTAACCAGTAATTTCAAACAATAGGGATTGCGAATTGCGGCCACTCCTTTATAATTCCTGAATCCTGAATGTATACATCATATACATGATTCGAATGCCCTGAGCGAAACAACATTCTCTCACACTACAGCAGAAGTGGCAAGAGAGACTGAAGTCTTTGTCCAAAAGTAATGTTTCTTGTTGCACAAGAAATGAGAAGGAACACGTGCAGTTCCGAGACACCAGACACACCCAAAGGCTTCCTGCGGTAGCGCGCCTGTGGTGGGAAAGGGCACCTCTGACGCATCTGGGCAGCCCACCATGATGACCGGATCGAGGGGACGGACCTGGACAGGCGGTCAAGGAGCATGATCCTTGTTACTAGTAGCATTCTTGCTCCTAGTAGTAAGGCCAGGAGCCCCTAGTAGCGCCCTTGCTCCTAGTAGTAAGGCCAGGAGCTCCTAGTAGCGTCCTTGCTCCTAGTAGTAAGGCCAGGAGCCCCTAGTAGCGTCCTTGCTCCTAGTAGTAAGGCCAGGAGCCCCTAGTAGCGTTCTTGCTCCTAGTAGTAAGGCCAGGAGCCCCTAGTAGCGTCCTTGCTCCTAGTAGTAAGGCCAAGGCCAGGAGCTCCTAGTAGCGTCCTTGCTCCTAGTAGTAAGGCCAGGAGCCCCTAGTAGCGTCCTTGCTCCTAGTAGTAAGGTCAGGAGCCCCTAGTAGCGTCGTTGCTCCTAGTAGTACGGCCAGGAGCCCCTAGTAGCGTCCTTGCTCCTAGTAGTAAGGTCAGGAGCCCCTAGTAGCGTCGTTGCTCCTAGTAGTACGGCCAGGAGCCCCTAGTAGCGTCCTTGCTCCTAGTAGTAAGGTCAGGAGCCCCTAGTAGCGTCGTTGCTCCTAGTAGTACGGCCAGGAGCCCCTAGTAGCTTCTTGTTCCTAGTAGCGATACCAGGAGCCCCTAGTAGCATCCTTGCTCCTAAGGAGGAGGGGGGCCCGATTCCACCTCCTTCCATTCATCCTGTGCTCTTTTTGGGCACCTCCTTGAGGAAGTCCTCTTCCGAGATGAGATGCACTGCAGGGATCTCCACGGGCGCCTTCAGCTTCAACAGCGCCAGGTCTCCCTGAACCGACTGGGAACGGACCGAAGGACTTGTTTGATTTTCTCCATCAGAATAGAAGCAATCGGAAGCTACTAGACAAGGGCAGAAGAGCTCAAGCTTGATCGATTTGGCTCCTTTCGGGCTCAAGCCCCATGATGGCAAAAGCAAGGATGCCCAGGGTGATGGCAGGATAGTTGTGGACGAAGATTGAACTGGATGGACACTGGAGGCAAACAAGAGTAGAGCTCTGCGACGGCACACATCAAAAAATAATGGGGAACCTACTCCACGACTGGATTCTGAACCTATGCATTTGTACACCCGAAGCCAGCCAATTTCGCTTGGCTCCTCCGCCTGCCTCAAAGGTCCATTCATCCCCGTATAAACAGTAGGCCACGATTTCTGCAGAGGTTTTCACCTCAAGGATCAAAATCTACGTCTACTTCATCAGTGCGATAGGGGAACTAACTCCGTGGCAAGCTTCCCACCAAATGGTCAGGGTGTTTCGGGCTTGGTAGGAAGCTATGAGACAAGTGTTCAAACATTTTTTGCAGCGGTCCTTCTTGGAGGCGACCTAGTTTTGAGCTGCTACCAATCAAGTTAGCAGAAAGCCAGTTGTCTCACCATGCAGTCTGAACTCCAACCCAATAGTTGCAACAGGCAAAGACAGTCGACTGTCGCCCACCAAAGGCCCATAATTCGAACCGACACTATTGCCCTAATCATGAGTGTCACTCTCGGCTCCAAACAGTTTGCAAATGCCGCCCATTCCTGAATATCTGGACATCTGCTCGCAGCACCATTTGTCACTCAAATCTGAATGTATAAAATGACTCGGAGAGTTTCTTCTGGGAATCCCCAGAGATCACTACTTGAAAATTTCCTAAAATTTCGATTATATAATATAACTTTAAAAGTTGTTGGTAGGAAAGCAAAGGCAAAACACTTTGGGTGCCCAAAGAAACTTTAATGGAGTTCCAATTCCATACTGTCAAGTTTCATTGTACTTTAAAAGCACGTCCATTTTGCAGTCTTGTCCCTGGGCTGGCTGGCGGGTCGTAGCGGAAGGTCTCAACAGTGCATGGCAGGAGCTGCTCCACCTTCTTGGAGGACTTCTCTGAAGGATCCCAGCCTCGAAGGATCTCGTTGGTTTTCCCTCTTTTGGCCGTGAAGAACGGGAGGTAGGCTAAGCAAGCTGAATCAAGCTGAGTTAAGCTAGGTAGCGAAATTTAGCTGTAGGTGGTACAGAGCAGAGACCTAGGCTCCTGGAGTTTGAGGGAGAAGGCAAAAAAGATCCTCCAAAGCCTGCTGGATGGTGCCCAGTCACAACGAGAGGGGTGCCTTCGATGCGGAGGGTCTCGGAAATGAGCTCCCAGCGATCACTCTGTCTGATGCAATCTCTGACTAGGTGATGGCAGGTCAGAACCTCACTGGTCAAAAGGGTAAAGCTGCTTTCGGTTTCTGCCCAATCCAGGATAGGTGACATATGTTACATTTCTTTCGAGCTCGGCTCTGTCAAACGAGGTCGTTTTGGTGCACAAAAGATCGGAACAAGAGCGGAAAGCTACAAAAACTGCTGATGCCCACCCTTGCCAATTGTGGCTGCCCCGCAGAGAGGTATATAGATAAAGCTCGAGGGCAAATCCCATGCTGTAAAAGCACAATGAACATGATCTTAATGATGCTGAAGTAGAAACACAGCAAGTCATGCCAACCGACTCTTGTATCTACCTTCTTGCAGTTACAGTACAGTATCCATATGACCCTCTCCGTTTGCGCCCTTCGAGCATCAGCCCTGCACACAGGTTCAGGCATATGTTCCATTCGAGGAGTCTGAGAGGACAAAGCCGCTGCCCTGAGCCCCGTGAGGGAGGTTACGGTTGGAGCTCAATGTTGGATGTGCAGAATGTGGTGACCCAAAAAGTTCTGATCAAATTGATGACAAAGCCCCAAAACAAGCGGTTGCGCTACTAGGGAGGAGGCCATTGCTTCTAGGTTGGAGGCCATCGCTGTTAAGTTCACTGATTGCACCACCTAAACCAGCAGCTAGCAGGTGCTTGCGCTTCTGCGGTGCTGGGAAGCTTGCTGCTTTGCCTTCAGCACTCGTCACTCTCGTAGCAGGAAGAATCATCCTGCCACGGGGATGGTTCTTTTGCATCACCAGAGTTGCATGTGAAGGCAGCCAATTCAATCCAATTCACATCTCCAATTATATACCACTCAGACTGGAACGAAACCCTCAAACAGGCCGGAAGCTCTGATCTCTCCGCAACTCCCAAACATCTGGCGGAAGCCCGAGAACGGCGAAAGCACAGCTCCACACTCAACATATCTCCCCAACGCCTATATACTTGTTTCACGCTTGTTTCACTTACTTGGGAGCTTCAACCAACCGCTGCTTCCTTTCAGACGGTCTCGCATCCACACCTGAATCTGGTAGAGACGCCTCACCTCAAGGGGCCACGGGAAAAATGGCCAATGAATTGTCATGAAGGTGTTGTGTCAATACATGGCCACGTGCTCATACTCCAATCTTCCATCTATGATAACCATCTGCTTAGCCTCATATTCCATCCAGCCACAGGTCACAAACAAAGATGCCTTCTAAACACTCCCACATGCGGCTCAGTAAGTCCTGAGTCCTGAGGGCCTTGGACCATATGTCACTACTTGTTCATACTTGGTTGGCTCTTGGTCGATGCTTGCCTCCCCAAGATCCACGGACTCCACACCAAGGGGCTGGACTTCTTCGCATGCAGCGCCCTGCGTGGCCCACCCTGTGAGCTGCACAAGGCCCCCAGCGACCCGCAGAAGGCCCAGCGGACCCAGCCCGCTCCGAAAATGCCGAGCAGTGCCCAACTGTGCCGAAGCACCCGGAAGCACCGGGCATTCTGCACATTCCCAGGTAAAGCCACCATGGCCAAAAGTTCCAGTTCGCTCAGCAAACTGAAAGCAATTTAAGCCTGGGTTTGTTTTCAGCAGATTTCCTCAGATTTGAGTTCGTTTGAGACGTCCCTGGAACTAGGTGCCCAGAACAGCTACTCACTGCCAAATTGGTTCTCACTTACAGGCAGTCTTATCGAGTCACATTTCCTGCATTGACAATCATTGACATACATGTCCTGCCTGCGAGGAAAAATGCTTCAAAAACTCCGTTGGTCATGTCATCTTCAGCTTCTCAGCTTGAAGCCAAATCCACCAAGAAGCACATGGCATCATCAAGTGATGGCAAACAATATCGCAACTTATAGTTTGCAGTTATACACAAGCTCCATTTACTCATCAAATAAGCGTTCTTGAAACTTTACCATTTGCCACTGTATGATCCCTTGAGCTTTGTTTTGCAGAGTCTCCAGCGTGATGAATGTCTGTCACTGATCTCTCTGAGAATCAGCTCTCTGAAGTGGGTGTCGACCGTGGAGCGACCCCCTCAGCAAAAGACCCTTCTTTGTCTTCGATACGAAAAGGGTAAGACCTAAGTAGTAACAAGTGCATCGATAGTAGTAACAAGTGCCTTACTAGTAGTAACAAGAAGCTAGTAGAAACAATAAACTAGTAGCTTCTTGTTCCTAGTAGTAAGGCCAGGAGCCCCGTTCGTAGCGTCCTTGCTCCTAGTAGCGATGCCCTTTGCTCCTAGTAGCGTCCTACGAAAAGGGTGGTTTCGGGGGTCGGCCGCCTCTAAGACACACTCCTCTCTCAAGCCGCGGCTTTCGCGCGGGGCTCTAGCAGCCAGAGCGGCTCAGCATCACATCGCCGATCACCGGTGCAGAGATGTGCACTTTAACAGCATTTTGGTTGGAGCAGTACTGGACCTGTCCAGAAAGACATGGATGTTGCGAGAGCAAAAGAAGAGAAGTTGATGAATGTTTTGATGAAACATCAACCATCTCATTTGACAGGGCAGCATAGCTTTTGTTCTCCATCGCAACCCAGCGGCAAAAACAGCCATTGTTTCCTACTATAATCCCCAGTCACTTCCACCAAGGCACGCTGAAGCTCAAGTTGTTGAAGCCACATTTGGCGTAGTTCCTGAGGGATGGTCTTTACCGTCGTGTCGAATCACACAAAAATGTCCAGCATGTGCATCGAACACAAAGCCAAATGGATGCGTGTCCCTCATCTCAAGCCAAGGCCGCCAAGGTTCAAGTAGATGTTCTGCCCAGACTTCCTGTAGCTTACACCATAACAATGGCCTTTCTTGGGCCCGCTCGCCTCAGCTTGGCTGAGGAACCCAGGAATCATGCAGCTTCACACGACTTACCTCGCTCAGTTTATGGCACGCTTTGGACTTCAAGGTGTTCAGGAAGGCTACTGTAGAGCTACAAAACTAAGAACGTTCAAAGCTCAGCAGTATCTTTTCTCTTCACGGCACTTGGAGGCGGCTACTGGTAAATACGTTAACTCTGAGTCTATGTTCAGCACAGAACTCTGTAGCCAGCTACACAGCGAGATGGCCAAATGACAGCCAAACAGCCAGCAACCCACCAAACAAACAAACAATCAAACACACAAACAAACAAAAAAATCAAGCAAAGGACACAAAGTCACAAACCGGAATGTGGCAAAGGCCTAAGGCCTCTCCTCTGATCCCTCGCTCCGCTTCTCCCTTTCGCCCAAGCAGCTGTCACGTCCACTCGGCCGGAGGTGGAGCTGTAGCTTTTGACCTTCACATAGAAGTCTTCCACCAACCAGCTGCCTCTGTAGCCTCAGCAATTCTATAGAGTGCAGAGATTGCACAACAGACTTCTACATGTTGTGCTTGGTTTCTTTGTTTCTGACAACATTGCAATGATGGATTACGATCAAATTGTAATGATGACACCTAGTAAATGCAAAGGCTATTAAACCCAGCAAATATAGCAAGTAGCAAGAAGCCACTAGGAACAAAGGGCATCGCTACTAGGAGCAAGACGCTACTAGTAGCTCCTGGCCATACTACTAGTAACAAGATAATGCAACATGTCGGACTCGAAATTCGACTTTCCGGCCGCCTATCAGATTGAGACGTGTCGGCGGGCATTTTGCCTTTAGGTTACCAAATGTATCAAATGGTTACATGAACTTGTGGCGCGAAAGCCAAGCAGCAACTGGTGCCCTTCGGCAGGCTACCAGCACCTGAACAAAAACGCTGTTCTTCCTGCGCCACCAGGGCTGCAGGTGGAATGGCCACAACTGGTGGCGCTACAGCTGCCAGGCTTGCCGCACAAGCGTGGGATTGCAGAACCACGTCGAGCTGCATGGGCTTGGTGATCTGCAACACGGCAATGGAGAAAAGCCCCGGAAAAAAGAAGAAAGGCAAAAAGGGTGTGTTGTGGAAACTTTGATTTTACAAGATGTTATTTTAGTGCCGCGCCTGCACGACAAACTCATCCTGGTCCGAACAGTACTTCACCTACAAAAGCCAGTCGTCATGCATCTTTCGCTGCAAGCAAGCAAACTTTGGAAATTGGATTCTCTTAGCCAAAGCACGTCGTACTCTGCTCCGGTAATACCACAGCTGGCAAGGTTGCTCGCGGACAATTGCATTCCATCCATTTGGAAGCTCACTCCTTCGCACTTTCCGGACAAAGGACCAATGGCCTGTGCACAGGACACTACGTCAGTCACTATGATTCAACATGAAGTGACAAAATGCAATTGACTGCCAAAAGCACCTCCATGTCCAGTGAACCGCTCGTGCCGTCTGACTCCAACAGCTCAACTTTGAAGGTCTCCACCAAAAGATTCCCCTCGTAGCACTTCTTGGTGGTTGGAAGCTTGCCGGTGCCAGTGCACTCTGTCCCCGTGGCCAAAAGGCTCGGCTTCAGAGGCACCACAGGTGCGGACACCAGGCTTGGAGGTGTTACACCAAACATCCCTGTGCAGCTGGTGCGCTTCAGAGTCACATCGAGCTGCATGGGCTTGGTGATCTGCCAGGCAAGTTGGCAAGAACAAACAGCTGTGCTGCAACAAAGAGAGAGAGAGAGAGGAGCAAGGAGCCAAGAAGAAGGAAAACGCATCAATCTTGAAAGTACAATGACGCGAATGCTGTATCTCATGCAAAGTGGCTAGTTGATTCCGCACCTGCACCACGAACTCATCCTGGTCCGAACAGTATTTCACCTACAGTAACGAAGCTCAGTGTAGGTTTCACTCACCACTTCTGTGCAAAAGTCAACATTGCCACTTCAGGCTGGTTAAGTGAAGCAGGACAAACAAAAATATGATTCCAAACTGCATATAGACCGCGACATTTTTGGGGGTAGCTGCGTAGCTGGTGAACCTGCAAATGACTCACTTCCTTCCTTGCTCCTGCATGCTGGCTTGGCGGTTTGCTTGCTTGCTACCTCTTTAGCCTGCTGGTCTCTCGTTGCTCACCTTGCTGCCTTGTTTCTCCTTCCTTCTTGTCTTCTCCTCATTTCTCTTTGCCTTCTGCTTGATTTTTCTTGTTCCTCCCACATGTGATCACCTTGGTGGGCCATACTTTCTTTATTGTGTGCTTTCTTTCTGATTATTTCTTTCTGTATTTCGTTCTTTCCATGTTCTTTGCACCATACAAATTTTAGCCTCGCCAGTTCATCGTGCAAGCGATTAACAAGAAAGAAAGAAACAAAGAAACAAAGAAAAAACGAAAGAAGGAAGAGCTGAGTTGTACAATTATGCCTTGATCATGTGAAGAAAAAAGAGCTGGTGATCAAAGAATAACAGTTGTTCAGCATGGAATACTCGTCCGGCCAAAGCACGTTGTACTCAGCGCCGTTGATACCACAGCTGTCGAGGTTGCTCGCGGACAATTGCGTGGCTTCCATTTGAAAGCTAACTCCTTCGCATTTTCCGGACAAAGGTCCAACGGCCTGTAAGCAGCAAGCGAGCACAGTGTGCTTCACACAGTCCACCATGACATGATTAAATGTTTGACAAAATGCAAGCGCAAACAAATTGATAAGAGAAGGAAAAATGGTGGTGGACTTGCCCCCCTTTCAATAAGGCCCCTTCAAGGGGCCGTTACCAAAGGGCTCAACTACACTGACGTTGTTTTTCTCTCTTCTCAATCTTGTGTAAAAACGCCTCCATGTCCAGGGAACCGCTGGTGCCGGTGGACTGCAGCACTTGGACTTTAAAAGTCTCCACGAGGAGATTTCCCTCGTAGCACAGGTCAGAATCCGTTGGGAGGTTCGCAGAGCCAGTGCACTCCTGCAAAGGGAATGAAAGAACATAAATAAACCAACAACAAAAAGCTACTAGGATTATGAGCCATTAGGTTGGAGGCCATCGCTATTAGGGTGGAGGCCATCGCTATGACGCTATTAGTTTCCTTAAAGCATATGTGGCGTCTTTCTTGCAAAGGAAATGAAGGGTTATCTCCCGGGGGAGCCTCGACAATGGTAACCCGTGAACCGCAACCACGACTTGGGCGTCGTGGATTCTAAAGGGCAAGCCTCCTCCTTCAGTAGAGTTTCTTGCTGACGGATTCCATTTTCTGAAACACTGTAACGAAATCCCTTTAGTTGAAAGGTCTTCTCCTTCAGGCTTCATATTTCTCAAAACCACTCTTCTATGAAAGCCTCATCCTGTCTGAAATGGTTTCTTTGAACCGAGTCCGTAGATAAACCAATCCAGCTTGGTATGAAATAATATGAAACAACATTAAGGGTGAGTCTCTGTACAGGTATGTATCCTTCCGTTAGGAACATGTTTCTTTACGAGAGTGTCCCGCTGTATCTCAAGTCATTGTTTAGGGTGCCTTCACAAGGACCTACCCGTCCTTGATACATTATAGAATCTACATCATATTACTATCCTACCTTATCCAAAAGCCTACTCTACAACAATTTAATGCTCTCCTGTCCATATACCAGGAAATGTTAAGTATCACTATTCCAAAAAGCATCTTCCCTATATCTATTCATTAAAGACAACTCTATTGTGCATGAAAGGTTCCTCCTTGGTGAGGGTCACAACTTTGGAAAGATCATTGTTTAAGAAATATTGCTCTGTCAATGTAAATGGTTTGATCTTGATAGTGAGAAGATCTAATGTTCGAAACTAATTGCAGGATACACAATCGAGCCAAGAAGGTATGAGCCACTCTTGAAGTAGGGAGTGACGGTAGTGCCCAATTCAAGAGCTCTTGGTATCAAAATGTGTTGATAAATGTTATAGTGCCACTCAATCCTCTTGCATCTCGTATTAGTCTCAGGAGCTAGGCAGGAAATACAAAAAAGCCGCTTAAGAACAGGAACAGCTCGTGATGAAAGGTAAAAGGGAAGTTGATAATTAAATATATATATATATATCAAAAAAATACAACTAAATGAGCATGGTGCCAACCTTCAATTTTGCCATAAAACCTATGACACTAAAGTTCAAACATCAAAAACACCGGCCACAAGGCGGCCAGCTCTCGATCCCTCTGGCTCGTTGGGCTCTTTCTTTGGACATGTTGGAAGAGGCCGCTACTAGGGTGGAGGCAATCGCTATTAGGTTGGAAGAGGCCACCTTCCCAACAATATCAACCGCTTGCATCAGCATATCCTCCTGCTCCAAGGTCGCCAACTTCATGCCTTTCAGCTGAAGCGCCTCCCAAAATGGACAGTCAACCAAGAGATCCAATAGCTCATGTGTTTGTTCTTTGAATGTAAAGGTGGTCTTGCCCAGATGTTCTACAGCATTTGCTCAACTGGGCTCATATAAAAAGGATCACGAACATGTCAATCTATGTCAATCAAACCCTACGTTCACACCCAGTATATAAAGCGGTTCATCTCTCTGAAGCTCCTTGCCTGCAAAGAGCATTTTTCATCACCCACTGCGCATTCATCCTGCCATATCGAGAGGTTTGTGTCAGCTGCATATTGTGCCCTCCTGATGGGATTGTGATCTGTGTGTGTGTGTGGGTCTCACATGTCTATCTGCTGGAAATAGAAGTGTGTTGTCACAAGTCATGTATGTCCCGCCCGAATCACTTCAGTCTGAGAATCCGATTGGATGCACATCCTCCCAAAATGGGACATCCATAATCTGGGTGGATCTAAATAAATATCTTGCCTTGCTCTTCCCCTGCCAAGACATGTCAGACCAGCATCTCTCACGAGGACGGGGTCAACCTGACCAGAATTTACAGCGCCCAAATGCAGAATAAAACCGCCTCACCATGAGCTTTCGATTTTGACTGGCTCTGGACAAACCCCCTTTCAAAAATAGATGCACTGTTCATGCCTCTGATGCGAGGCTGCAGGAAAACAGGCCTACCAAAAGCCTCAAGTCATTCCACCAATGGAAAGAAAACTGACACAATGCATGAACCAAAGATCTGGAGAACTCTCCATGGCTTGAATTTCAGGCCTTTAAGTGGCCAAGGCAAAAGGAATGAAGGATAGATTCGGACATAATAGCGCAAACATGTATGCAAAGTACAAAGTCCTTGCGAATCAGGGACAAACTGCTTCATCTTTCAACTTGGCTAGATCGACTCGCAAGCTTAGCACTCAGCTTGATCAGCATAACGCTTTTGAGCTTGCCTCACATGCTCAGACTGTTGCAACAGACTGAAGGAGACTGAAAGCAGCGACTGAAGGCAGCTAATTGAAGGCTCCCGAATAAGTGCTTGCAGCTGCGCAGGTTGGGACACACCGGCACACGTAGAAGCTCAGGGCACCGCTGTGTTGAAAAGGCAGTGCTATATAGAGTCTAGCTAGGTTTTGAGCCAAGTCTCCCAAAGAGCGAGCAAGTCCAAATGACACCTTCACACACCTGCTGACGTCATCGGGGAACCTCTATTTCCAAGCAATTCTACATGTCCTTTTTACGAGAAGGTCTACCAAATGTTGCAGATCATAGATTCATAGGCTATGAGCATCCCTACTCCCCAGCATCAACCAGCTCTGTGCTTTTATCACCACTCGGCTTCGGCCGTGACAAGTGTAGAAGCTCTGACCTCGTGTCAGCCGCACAAGGGCAAGGGTATATTTTCAATCAAGCTCAGAATGCTTGTCTCCAAGAAACCACAACAGATTCACCCAATGCAACTCCCCCCAAGCTTCAGAAACAGAGAAAACCCCACATCAAGCTTGGTCATGCGTGGTGATCCCTTCCTTGGCACCCAAAAGAAACAGTCCAGCCTCCGCTGGGGGCTGAACTCGTTGAGAGCTCGCAGCACGGCGGACCTCAAAGCAAGAAAGGTTGCATGAAGTTCAAAAAGAAGAAAACAACAATAGTGTGATGCATTGTGTGTCTTGATCAAAACACATACTGAGGGTTTCTGAACTACCTGATCACCATATCGAGATGAAGCTTCTGCCGACCGTTTGTGAGAAAGGCAGGCATGGAAGCTCGAAAGGATTCAAACTGGCATTTTAGGCAACCCTTGGCTTCTTAACACACTGCGTTGTTGAATGATTTGGCCAGGCCATGCTGTGGCACTGTCGCAGGGTGGCACCTGTTGGTGTAGGCTGTTGGGGTGGGATTTTGAAGCAACATCAAAGGTGCAAAGGTTTCCTTTACAGTACTAGGAACAAGGGCATTACTACTAGTAGCCAGAAGCTACTAATGGCAAGTGCATCGCTACTAGTAGCAAAGGGTCAAAGGGCACTACTACTGGGAACAAGAAACTACTACAACAACCTGGGTCGTCGACGACGCCTTTCCTCGGTGTTTGGCTCCACTCCCAGCCGGATGTGCTGTTGGATCGAAATGCTGCGGAGTTGGGCCTCCTCAGAGTGCACGATGCAAAAGAAAACAAAAAACGGTCAAAAACTGAGAAACAAGTACGGTAGCTTTGAAAACCCAGTCTCACAATGGGTTCATCACCTCATCTGTTCTGCTGCTATATATATATAACTATATGATCCTATATGTACATATGCTTATTTTATCTGCCGCTTTTGCCTGCTTCATCTCTGCAAGCACGCCAATAAAATTCCTGCCTAGGGCCATGCGCTCCAACTGCTGGACGCCTTCTTTGGGCTTCCCAGGGTCCTTCCTCCAAGCCTCAAAAAACAATAGTTGTGCAAAAACGTGTTGCTTTTCTCTGCTTTTGTTCTCCAAATAGCGAAAGCTATTGGCATTCATTTTTTTTAAGTACAAGAACAGGTTCATGTGCGCTTTGGACCCTGGGTATTGGTCGCTACAAGGTGCCGCTGTCAGATGTGCATGGCTTTGGCAAGGTGGCAGCGAGGGTGTTGTTGCCAAATGTCTGTGGCGGTGTACGCTTTGGAGCCTGGGTGCTGGTGCCGCAGGCCATTCTTGTGCTATCTGGGATCTATGCTATGGCATAATGTTTTCCTCGCAGCCTGACACTCAAATCATACATGAGTCCTTGTGGTGGCAAAAAGTCACTTCCTTGGGATAAGATTTGCTCGGCACAGCACCTCTAAGGTCTTGAGTACAGCTTCATGTCGAGTCTCCTGGAAAGCTAGGCCAAAATTCCTCTACATAATCACATGATGGTGAGTCTCCCCCCCTCCCTCTCTCTCTCTCTCTCTCTCTCTCTTTCTCTCTCTCTCTCTCTCTATCTCTCTACTGCACATGTCGCGCTTTCAAGCAAAAAGGTTATGAAAACGTCCAAGGTTTGACATGTGGATGGTTTCATGGGATACAGTAGCCGGATAGCCACATGTCATTTAAAACAATTGACCAAATTTACGCGCTCCGTCAAGATCTGATCAAGCTCGGAATGGGACATCCTTCCATAGCGCTTGCTTGCAAGGCAGTCTGAAAGTTTATCGATTAGCTTGATTGTGCCTGGTGGGGATATTGACTCCAATTCCAATCCCAATGTCTGCATCCATAGTCCCTTCAAACCAGAGAAGGTTGGGTTGAGACGGTGAAGCGACCGTTCCCCTCCATCACCCATCACCAAGCTTCATTGTTGCCACCTCTTTGACTCAAAAAAATGCAGCAACCAAAAGGCGAAGGACTGAAGTCCTCAAAATAACACCAGCCCAGTCTTCTTGGCTTATTAATGTGTGCGCAGCTTGAAGAAGAAGCACCCTCTTCAGCTTAAAGCAGAGAAAAAAATTGACAGCAAGATGTTGAACCAGCTGAGTAGTTACAGGAGTTGCATCAATGTCTTCCCAGCGGTTGCCACTTTTCCAAATCTGCTGTGGTCGTCGGGCTAGCTGGCACTGTGCACTGTCGATGGCCTTTGCCACTGACGCCCACGGCTCTACAGGGTTGGGGCACTGAGAAACACCTCTCCTCAGCCTTTTGAAAACACCTAGACTCTAGTGTCCTTGCTACTAGGAGCAAAGGGCATCGCTACTAGGAGCAAGGACGCTACTAGGGGCTCCTGGCCATACTACTAGGAGCAAATAGCTACTAGTAGCGTCCTTGCTACTAGGAGCAAAGACTTTCTCTTGGACCCCTCACTTTCGATCTCGCCCCAACCCCTTGCGCTCGACCCCGTCTTCTCTCTGCGTCAGCTACTGGTGGTAGTCCACATTCCTCAGTCTGACGCAGATCTGAATCCAAAAGAAGACGACTCTTTCAGCAGCCAGTTCTTGAGCCTCTGACCCTTCATCCAGCGGAAGAACACGGTCCAAAATGCCGCGCCAAAAGAACTGGTCGCAGGCTAAGCATACTAGGATGTTCTGCCAAAACGGGAAAGACAAACAGGTTTCAGGAGTTTCAGGCGCACGTTTGTGAAGTTCTATTAACTTTTTTGTATCTCCTCTGGTCACACATAGACCCGCCCATGCAAAACAAAAAATGACCTGATGCGTGATTTGGATCCAGCTCTGATATTTGATGACTAGTTTGCATTCTATTGAGGTTCCATCCTTCCAAGCGTCCTGGTAGAACATCAAAACGTGGTTGGAAAACATGCCGCAAGTGAAGCAAAGTGGGATTAATCCAGCACTAGGTATCAATGTATTGGCCCCTTGTGGACTCTACACTCCAACGGACTTGCCCCGATTCTTCCTTACAGCCAAACACACTGCCAACACAGACGGAACAAGTGAGACATTTCCAGACTCGCCCCAATCACAGCAAAAAGTGTGACCAAACTTGTGGCACGCAGCCTGGTCACAGAGCAGATCCACATGCGCAGCCACGAGCCCAGCATAGAGAACTCAAGAAGTGCAACCAGGCATACGCCCAGACACCGCGAAGACACAGACTGGCAAGTTCAACCAAGCTCAACAAACACAGCCCGCACAAAGCATGCACACAGCCCACGGTGTGAACAACGGACGCGACCAATAAACAAGCTGCTTGGAGCAAACAAACACTTACACTTACAGCTCCACATCGTCGAGCCTCGATCTTCTTGTCGAAGACGTGCTCTTCTGCTCGCTGGGTCAGGCAAACGATGTGGATCACCATCTGTGCAGGAGTTCATGAGTTCATATTGTCCACAGGATAACTCCAAGCCCAGATTTATATAAAGCAAATACCTCCAAAAAGATCCAATACCACAGAATGATTCACAACAGAATCATGGAATTCAAGACCAATCACATCACTGCCTGTTGCTGCTGCCAAGGTGATGCCTGGTAGATTTGCTGGTATTGCAGCAAAGACTGCAGCTGTGCTAATGTGTGTACCTTGGAGGTACATGGAAGCTGCGAAAGGACTCCAACCCAGCTTCACAAGATTTGCAATTGAATGGCACAAACATGAATTAAAGCAGCTTGAAAATTCATCTAAAATGTTGTCAAGTTTCTTGCGGTTGTCCCTGCTGTGGAATCCACACAGGGTTGGCTGGAAGTATTGGTGGCGGTGGTGGGGGCACCGGCGGTGGGGGTGGCACTCCCTGTGGCAAGTGCGGCGGCGCTGCCAAAGGACCCTGAACTTGAGGTGGGGGGTGTGTGGGTGGCGGGGGCAGTGGTATCATTGGTGGCTGCGGCCAACCTCGCAAACAAACATTGTCATCAAAAACCAACACAGATTTGCCAGGAACAAGAAGGTACTAGTAGCACAGTGCATTACTAGTAGTTCCTCTCTCCTAACAAGGGCATTACTACTAGGAACAAGAAACTACTAGTAACAAGGGCATCGCTACAGTCTGAGGTCTCGACCTGGCACCTGTGCACAAAAAACATGTTCACGCAGAGGTGTCTATATAATAAGAATTCCATCGCTGACAAACAGTCTACAGTACACTGTCTGGATCAATTCGGATCAAAATTTCTAAAACTTCAGTGGGTGGCGGGAAATGTTCTAATTGAAGAATTGCTACTGGATCTGCCCATTGAATATGTCGCAAGCATAAGAAGCTGCCAATAGCAGCCAAAATGCCCGTAACACCTGTGCTGACAGGCTTCTTCCAACTTAACCATTCTAAGAACATCACCCAAAGATCAACTTGGAAAGGAATAGGAATCAACAGCACTAGCGCCAGTGGAGTTCTTCGGCATCTTCCGCTGCTTCTACAATGTCACTGATCAGTTTGAGCCCACGTAAATACAGTACTGACTTGCCCACTACTATCATAGCCAAGTTGCACCAGGAAAGGAGATGGTTATCCTTTCTGTGTCTGGAAACCAGGATGGCTAATTGAAAACTGCGCTTTTCAAAGTCTACAACAAATTGTTCAAGTGTTCTTTTCAATCCGGCTGATGTTGATGATTCTGTCTGCTACGTAAGAGTTGTGGTTGCGCCACCTATCATTATCAACCTCATGCACCTGCAACTTTTGCAATCCAATCAAAACTTGCTCAAATCTGATAACGAAGAGTGAAGGATTCTTCTCCCAGTTCTGATTGGAACGA